AGGTCCTGTAGTGGTGACATGGAACAGTCTCTCCTTCACAACTTGGTATGTTTTCCTTATCCTTGTAGTGAATTCTAAGTCTCATATACAAATCCACACCAGATATTAATTGACTGATGCAAGTTGGTAGGAAATTCAGAGAAATTAGATTTCAAATTATCTTGTTCTTTTCATTAACTACAGAAAAAATTATTGAGAAAAGGGCAGTTTGCTTTTTGATGGTATTTCATGATCTCCAAAGATTTAGTTGTTAACCAAACTGTAATAAATTGAGTAACGTGCTATATTTAGAGGGAGAAGAGACTGTTGTGCAATACCTAGATTACTAATCTGTTTTTTTGAGCAGTTCCTAAATCATCTAATTAAACATTGCAGCTTCCTGCTATTTGAGACTTAAATACACTATCTTTTAAAAGCTGTCAAGGTTGCTTCATAATTTTTATAGCTCTTTGCAAATACTGTTGGCATGCAATGACTGGTGCATCCCTAGGCTATTTAATTAATGCAGTGTAGATTGCATTCTTCTTTAAAAGAAATTGTAACACTTAAATTTGTTAATTTAATGGCCCAGTACATTGTTGATTAAACTTTGAGAAACCAAATTAGTTTTATCTCCCAACCAATTGATTGTTTTATTTCACTGATAGGCCTGAAATTCCGTAAGTACGCTAATTTCCTATTATGGTGAGCAGCCTACTGTTCTGTACTTTATATGTTTTACAAGACTTTTCATTCATGTAGCAAGTGTTTGAGCATTTACTATATTCCAGTCACTGGGCCAGGTGCTTTAGTTTTTAGAGTCTCCTATTCAATAATGTCTTGGATTTTTAGGTCAGATCATTAAATACTTCAAAAAGTTAACATTATGTTGGAGGAAAACTATATATTTATTTCTTTGAAGCTGTTCTGTCAAAACACTGGTCATATTTTGGGAACTTTCAAAGCCATATGATTTATTGGCTCTGATTTAAGATAACCAGAATAAATAAACTGCCAGCCCCCAAAAAACTGGTGTTTCTTTTATCTCTGCCCTTTACATTTCTAGAAGTAAAATGTTCAAAGCTTGAATATTTTACAATCTTAGAACCGACAGAATGCTACTGTGAGTCAGACCAGTCATGATTCATCCAACTTAAGCCATAGAGTACTTTATAGGGATGTTCAACAACAACAGCAACAACAACAACAACAACAAACAATTCAACTGAGTAAAATGCAAAGATCTTACTGGCTTTATTCAGCAATTCATGAATCAGGCAGTGTCCCATCTAGCACATGGAAAGGAGCTCCAAGGAGCTATACAAAATGAAAGACTTTTAGGGGCACAAGGGAGTGGAAACAAGGAAATTATACTAGCACAAATGGATTGGTTGTGACAAGGTCATTTTCCCTAGGGAATGTGAGTGTCTGTCAAGCAAATTGCCTCACTAGTGCTGACCAGGTGATGCCTGATTGGTTTAACATTCCATTTCTAGGAGAGGCTGAAAATAATTAATTCTTGGTGATTTAGGGCTTAACATAAGCGACTCCATTGTGGGCCTGTTTTGTTTTTAACAGAAACAATATGGTTGTCGTTGAAAACAGTGGCCTCAGAAGGTAACATATTATAGTAGTTATGAGTTAATAACAGAGTCTTGACTATATCAGTGAATTTTTTCTATGCGAAAGGATTCAGGAGGTAGAATTTTGCTGGTTTTAACTCAGTGGCACAAAGGTGGACATCTTTCCATTCTTTCAGCTGAGGTTGCAATTTCTTGGGCCTGCCTTTTATCTTTGAAGATGACTAACCATTTTATCTATTTTCCAGGCCAAAGGTAGAAGAAGAAGATAGGGGTGAAAAGGCTGACTGAGAAACTTCCAGATATATCTCTTGTCCATTTCTATCTACAAAGGAAGCTAGGAAATGTAATTTATCAGCCTCTCCCATTGCCCAAAGTTCTTTTAGTAAGAAAGAAGAGAATGGGTATTGAGTAAGGTAGGCAACCAGCATTCTCCACTACAGGTGTTAACACCAACCACACTCATGCACAAATCAAAACATTTCTCCCTCCTCAAAAACACATGGATTTATTATCTATGAATCAATCTAAAACTTTCATGAATCTAGTTATCTTTTCAGCTTATACTACCTCTCCTGAATTTTTAGCGTTAGTGCAAGTCCCTCAATTTTAATTCTTTGGAACCAGGATAGTACAGTGGAAAGAGCACTGGACTTGGAATCAGGGAACTTGACGTATAGTTTCAGTTCATCATGAGGGAGTTGACCTTTGATATCTGAGCTTCCGTGTCTTTCTTTGGATAGTGGTAATAAAATACCTTCTCGGCCCGTGTTTTGCAGGCTTCTTAGAGGATCACGTGTGCATTTTTATTTTAATGTATATAAAAATATATGGCAAATTTCTCCATCTTTACCATCTCTGCCTTCCTCACTGCTCCTCCTTATTGTTCAGGACCCTCTTATCACACTTTTCACCTGGCAATTTCAATAGCTCTGAGTCAATTCCAGTCCCTACATCTCTACACATTTCTACATAGCCCTCATTTTAATTGTTAATGGAGATATGTACTATGGAGAAAATATTTAGTCAATAGTTTTTACTTTAAGCATTAGGTTGTTTATATTTTCAGATGTATGTTGTGTTAGTATTCTATGTGTTTGTGTATACATATGTAAGATATATGAATGTATATATAGTGTATGATTAATTATTTGGTTAAAAGCCAATTCCATGTCCTGGCTGGTGCGGCTCAGTGGATTGAGTGCCAGCATGCTAACTCAAAGGTCTCTGGTTTGATTCCCAGTCAGGGTACATGCTTGGGTTGCAAGCCAGGTCCCCAGTAGGCATGCGAGAGGCAACTGATGGAGGTATCTCTCTTACTCTTTCTCCCTGCCTTTCCCTCTCTCTAAAAGTAAATAAATAAAATCTTTTTTAAAAAAAGCAAATTCCTGTAACATGAGTTACTAGGTTAGTGGCTGGTTCTTTGATACTTCTGCTTTATTATCCCAGTTGTTTCTCAAAGGATTGTTCTAATTTGTATGCCACAAATGAGAGTATTATGAATGTATTGTAGTTTTTATACATTGTCTGGCAAAACTATAGAAATATATAATAAAAAATGTAGCTCATCCATTTCCTTTTTTAAAAATTTTATTAAATTTAAAGAGAGAGAGAGAGGAAGGAGAGAGACACATTGATTCCTTGCTCCACTTATTTATGCATTCATTGGTTGTTCCCTGTATGTGTCCTGACTGGGGATCAAACCTGCAACTTGGTGTATCAGGATGATACTCTAACCAACTGAGCTAGCTGGCCAGGGCCTCCATTTTCATACTCACAGAACCTAGGCACTACAAGTACAGGAAGATTTAGTGCACTGCAATCTTGGTAACCTTGTATTTATAAGCCAGTATTGGTTCAGACCTTAAAAATGATTTTATCATACATAAGTGGAAAAAGAAAAACATCTCAAGGAGAGATAGAAGAATTTTTTATTCCTCGTCATATCCTGTTTTCTTTAACAGGGCTCTTCAGTATTTAAAGGTTACTTAAAGATAGACTTGCGGCTTCTTTTACATTGAGACCTAGGAGTGCTGTCTCCCTTCCTCACTCCACGTAGTCCCTAGCTCTCCTACCTACTCCCACCCACTGAGCATCCACACTGATATCCTCGCTACTTGGAAGCCCTGACTATGTAAGTGACAGATAATTCTTTAGTGTCAACTGCTGAAGGCTTAGAGCCTGCTCACATTCACCAAGGGTTTAAGAAAGGATTTTGAGTTTTTACCATTATTTGAGAAACAAGGCCAAATTGATTTAAATTTTTATTTTCTTTAAAAACAAGCTTTATATTTAGACAAGTAAAGTACTACTAAAGTTCCTTGATGAGTCCTTCCCTATCCCACTTCCTTTTATCAAAAAGTTTAGGAAAAAGTTGGATGGTGAGAGAATTTGTATTTATGATCTTTTCTTATTTTTTTGAATTAAGTGTAATTACAGATTAGGTAACTGAAATACACAGTTTAGCTGATTTAGAGAATCATAAATATATGTTTTGGGGGTCAGAGTGTGAAGCATTTTTTGCCTTTTGCCAAAAAACTTTCATCTGAAGATGTCTTTTACTTATTCTTTTATTTAACAAATACTGATCTTTACTATCCTATCCAGAATTAACATTCTCTGATTCTGTGAAATTTATTGAAGCACTCAGTGCATTGCCCCTCTGCTGTTTATAGATGCAGCTGAAGCCAAGGATTAACACCCTAGTACATCCTTTATCCTTTTAAATCTTTCAGTAAAAAAAATAAAAATAAAAATAAATCCCCTTTTCCTATTGACTGATGCATTTTTGTTAATTCAGTAGTCTTTTTGGGATAAAAATATGACAAAACAAGTAGCATTATTGCTGACTCCAGCAACTCTAGTTGTTCTAGAGGTGTTTCTATCAATATATCTTACCCTATTTAGGAAGTAATACTTGGAAAAAATTGCATCTCTTAAAATTTAAATAGTTGAAAAATCTTTTAAGAACATTGAAAATTGCAAATATTTTCAAACATTTAAAATTTAAAATAAGATATTTAGGCTCTGGCTGACATGGCTCAGTGGATTGAGTGCCGGCCTATGAACCAAAAGGTCTCCAGTTTGATTCCTAGTCAGGACACATGCCTGGGTTGCTGACCCGGTCCCCAGTTAAGGTGTGCAAGAGACAACTGATTGATGTTTTTCTCACATATTGATGTTGCTCTCCCTCTCTTCCCTTCCCTTCTCCTCTCTCTAAAAGTAAATAAATAAAATTTTTTAAAAAATTTTAAAAAGAAATATTTAAGAATTATGGTTGTTTGAGGCTAAATATTTCTATGAACAGTAATAAGTGAAGTGCAAATGCAGTATAGTTACACAAAAAGATTTGCCATAAAAAAATATAATACTAGCTGTTTTTTTCATATTATATAAGATAACTTTATAGTTATCTATATGTTGCTCTATTTCTCTCCCTAGATGATCATGTCAAACCTTTTACGCCGGAGAAAGCAAAGGAAATTATCATGTCTTTACAGCAACCTGCAGTCTTCTGTAATATGGTTTTTGATTGGCCAGCACAACACTGGACTGCTAAACACCTTTCTGAGGTCCTTCATGGCAAGCAGATAAAATTCAGGATGGGAATGAAAAGCACAGATACAGGTAGGACCATAAGTAATCATTATAATGTCTCTTCAATAGCATTCCCACATACCCAATAGTGGTTTCTTTATCTCTAGAAATCCTTTATTTCTAATTCCCTTTTTGACCATTTGCAGATAGGGAATATTTTATTAGAAGTTCTAGAAGGACAGTTTGTATTCAGATTGTTTTTTAAGAAGGAACAACCTGTAGATTATAATTTCAAATAAAATGTTTTTGTTCATGTGTGTGGTAGGCACTTAATAAATAATTGTTAATGTGCCATTATTACTGTCCCCATGTGACTGAAAAAGACCAATAGTAGTCTGGGACTAATACTAATCATCAGCCCCACTTTGACTCATGTAGAATGTGTTCTTTAATTTGTGGCTTCAGGCACTATTTATAGTGCTCTGTTGAAATTTTGTCTCTGCTTTATCAGCTGTGTGACCTCTATTGCACTGCATAACTATGAAACATATGTAAAGCTATATTTTTCATTCTCTTAAGCAATTAGATTTTGCCAGCTCCCTCTTCTTCCCTGAAGATTTTGATTTTTTGCCTTATAGTCAGATAAAGCAATTATTGTTACCTCTAAAAATAGTTAATGTAAGGGAAAGATACTCTGGCCCGTTGGTTGGAGCATTCTCCCATGTACCAGAAGGTTACAGGTTCAATTCCCAGTCAGGGCATTTGCCTAGGTTGCAGGTTCAGTCCCCAATTGGGGCATGTGCAATAGGCAACTAATTGATCTCTCAATCCCTCCCCCACCCCTTCCTCTCTCTGAAAGCAATAAAAAAAAATGCCCTAGGGTGAGCATAAAAAATATAATAAAAGAAAGAAATAGTGCTGTTTATAATGTAAAGGAGTTCAAAGCTATTGGCTTCAGAACATGTGCTTAGCTTATATTTAAATATGAATAAGTTTGGTAGTTTAGAAACTCAGTGTTTTAAGTATTGCTGTGAAGTGGCTCATGAATATCCATTGATAACTGAGATGCAATAGAAAATAACCCAGTTTCTCCAGGCTTTTTTCTTTCATGTTGACCTAGGAGATCTCATAGAATTATTTGGTTTTTGGTGTCTAGAATCTCCTTGTACCCTCAGGACAGGTAAAGCAAGATTAATATACCTGAAATTCTATGGCATCTCATTCTAATTATGAACCAAAATGTTTACTGCATTTTAAAATTAAATGCTAAACCAGCAGCAGCTACATAAAAATCAGCTTATGCTTTTTTCATCTTGATCGTAGTCAATTACATGTTCCACTCATTGAAGACAATAATTTGGAGAAATATAAGAATTGTAATTTTTTTCCCATCTTGATTAGACTCCAAATACAGTACTACTACTAATAGCTAACAGTTACTGAGAGCTTTTGTGTCAGGCACTGTTTTGCGTGTTTTATACATATTAACTCTTAATCTGCTTCTTAGAATGGTACTATTACTCTGTTTTGTAGATGAGGCACAGTAATTTGACATTTTCAAGTTGATATTAAGCATAAAAGAAAGATAAAGTAGAATGTCTATTGATTGTGAGCAATTCCTCTGAGTTTTTACTAAAGATATTTTGTGTTTTTTTAATAATTCAGATAAAATTCACATAATGTAAAATTCACCATTTTAAGTATACAGTGGTTTTAGCCTACTGACAGTGTTGGGCAACCACCACCACTAATTCTAAAACATTTTCATCATCCCGTAAGGAAGTCCACTACCGCATAAGCAGTCACTTTCTATTCCACCTTCTCCCCAGCACCTGGCAACCACTAATCTGCTTTTCTGTTTTTATTGATTTGCCTATTCTGGATACATCATATAAATGGAATCACACAATATGTGGTCTTTTGTATCTATTTTCACTCAACATAGCATGTTTTCAAGATTCATCCATGTTGCAGCATATATCTGTACTTAATTTATTTTTATTGCTGAATAATATTTCATTATTTGTATACATCATATTTTATTTATCCATTAATCAGTTGCTGGCCACTTGGCTTGTTTCTACATTTGGCTATCATAAATAATGCTGCTGTGAATATTTATGTACAAGTTTTTGTGTGGACATATGTTTTCATCTCTCTTGGGTTTATACCTAAAAGTGGAACTGCGGAGTCACACAGTAACTTTGTGTTTAAACCTTTTGAGGAACTGCCAAATGGTTTTCCAAAGCAGCTGAACCACTTTACATTCCCACTGCAATGTATGATTGTCCCAATTTCTCTATCCTTGCCAACACTTATTCCAGTTTTGATTCTACCCATCCTAGTAGCTATGAATGGTTATCTCATTATAGTTTTGATATATATTTCCCTTGACTATTGATGTTCAGCATCTTTTCCTATGCTTACTGACCACTTGGATATCTTCTTTGGAAAACTGTCTAGTCAGATCTTTTGCCCACTTTCTAATTGAGATTTTTTTGCTTTTTTTTTTATTGTAATTTTTTCCATTACCATTTATCCTTCTTATATCCCCTCCCTCCCACAGTCACCACACTGTTGTCCATGACCGTGAGTCCTTTTTCATTTTTTGTTCTGTCCCTCTGCCTCCTAACTACCTCCCCCAGAGCAGTCAGCCTGCTCCCCACCTATGAGTCTGTCTCTATTTGCTTGTTAGTTCAATTTGTTCATTACATTCCACATACGAATGAAATCATATGGTATTTGTTTTTCTCTCTCTGGCTTATTACACTTAACATAATGTTCTCCAGGTCCATCCATGCTGTCGCAAAGGGTAAAATTTTCTTTTTTTTAATTGCTGAGTAGAATTCAATTGTGTCAAGTCCCATAGTTGTTTCATCGACTCATCTGTCTATCGACACTGGGGTTGCTTCCATATCTTGGTGATTGTAAATGATGCTGCAGTGAACATACGGATGCTTATGCTCTTTTGAATTAAGAGTTTGGTTTCTTTGGCTATATTTCCAGAAGTAGGATCTCTGTGTCAAAAGGCAGATCCATTTTTAACTTTTTGAAGTATCTCCATACTGCTTCCTGCAGTAGCTGCACCAGTCTGCATTCCCACCAACAGTGCAAAAGGGTTTCCCTTTCTCCACATCCTCGCCAGCTTGCTTGTTGTTTGTTGATTCATTGATGATAGCCATTCTGACAGATGTGAGATGGTATCTCATTGTGGTTTTAATTTGCATTTCTCTGATGATTAGCGAAGTTGAGCATCTTTTTATATGTCTATTGGCCATCTGTATGTCCTCTTTGCACACGTCTATTCAGGTCGTTTACCCATTTTTTAATTGGATTGTTTGTGCAGTTTCTTTGATCCTGATTTTTATAAGTTCTTTATAAATTTGGGATATCAACCCCTTATCAGATGTATTGGCGAATACGTTCTCCCATTCCATGGGCTGTCTTTTTATTTGTTGATGGTTTCCTTTGTTGTGCAAAATGTTTTAGTTTGTAGTCCCATTTGTTTATTTTTTTGAGATTTTCTTTTGCTTTTGGGGGTTTTTGGTCTTTTTGTCACTGAGTTGTAAATGAGTTCTTTAAATACTCTGGATACTAAATACTGATCAGATAACTTGCAAATACTTTTTCTTATTCTGTGTATTGCTTTAATAACTTGTTCTTTTTAAAGTTATTCTTAGAGTATAAATGCAGTTCCGCTACAAGCAGTATAGAGTAGTGGTATAAGAGAACTAACTCTAGAGTCAACTTGCATGGGATCAAATTTTGGCTTACTGTGTGACTTCGGGCAAGTCACTTAACTTTTCTGTAATAAAGTCTTTCAAGGTTAAATGTGTTTGTGTACAGAAAACATTTAGAACAGTGCCTAACACATAGTAAATGCTTGAGAAATGTTATTTAAAAATAGAAATAATTAAAAAATAAAAATATGACTACCTCATTGTAGAGACTATTGAAAAAGATGGAAAGATCCAAACAAATTTAAAAACACTTGGTCCTATTATCAAAGTGTATAGATGACCATACAGACGTTTTTGTATTTTAAAAATAATGTATTAATTTTTTTGCTTTTATCTTTTTTAATTAATAAATCATGTTTATTCTATTACAGTTCTGTTTTTCCCCCTTTACCCCCTCCACCCATCCCACTCCCACCCCGCTCTCCCACTGTCAATTCCCACTCTGTTGTCCATGTCCATGGGTCATTCATACATGTTCTTTGTCTAGTCCCTTCCCCTTCTTTCCACCATTGTCCTCTCTCCCCATCCCCTCTGGTCACTTTCAGTCTGCTCCAAGTTTCCATGCCTGTGGTTTATTTTGTTCCTTAGTTTATTTTGTTGAATAGATTCCACTCATAGATGGGAGATCATATGGTATTTGTCTTTCACCCACTGACTTATTTCACTTATCTCAATATTCTCCAGTTCTATCCATGTTGTCGCAAAAGGTAGGAGTTCCATCTTTCTCTCTTTCCTTCTTAAATGCAGATTGATTTTTATTTTTTAAATGTCAAAGTTATTTATAAAATATTTTTAAAAATTTAAAACCATTATAAAGTGTCAGCAACTAAACCAACATGACACCAGCACAGAAATAATCAAGTAGATCAATGAAATACAATGAACATTCTAGAGACAAAAGTAATGTATTAATTTTCATAGCCTGCTTTTTTCTACTTAACATATTCTGAACAGCTTCTCTTGACATTAAATGTGACTTTTAAATAGCTACCTAATATTCTATTGTATGATAGTATCATAATTTATTTTTTAAATTCCTATTATTTTGATTATTTAGATTGCTTAAAAGTTTTAAATTTATAAATAAGACCTGAGTATGATGTCCTAAAGGCTTAACTATTAAGAAAGGGAGTGGACAGACAGAAAGGAGAAAGGGATATCTTAAAGAAATGCAGTTTCTACACGGTTATGCTAATGTGTTTCTCACTTTATTGTTTACGTTTTGATTTTGCTTATTTTTACCTTTTCATATAGTCAGATCAAATAGTATTTCTTAGCATTTTAAATCTTGTTTATTTATTTAGAAATTTCTTCTGTATCCTGAAAATAGATAAATATTCCAATATTTTT